TAGTGAGAATGTTATTATGAACTTATACCTTACATATTGGTGGTGTTGCAAGTCATTTTGATGGCGATGAAACAATAAAGGAAAAAAGATAAATATTTATTAGCCAAGGTTTGAAAAAGATATATCACATAAAATATACAATGAAAAGCTTGCTAACTTGATGCAAGCAAAAATTAGGAAGACCCTAATTTTGCAAGCATACTAAAAAGTCTTCCTAAAAAAATAACAAAACAAACCTTCATAGGCTAAAGATGACGCTTACAAGTTTAGAATATAAAAGACTCCTAAAACTGCTTTTCATTCATTGAGAAGAAAGATACAAGTGGCATCGAACTTGCGGAGAGAAAAAAGAGGTAAGAAGCCGAGACGAAGTCAAAGATAGACAAGCTCACAAGCTTTCCCAAGCAAAAGAGAGGAATGGAACAAGCTCGCAAGCTTTTCCACGAAGAAACCCATAGGTTTAGTTTCAAAAATACTTCACATAACATTCTTTTTATGCTTACAAAACACTTCATATTTATAGGGGAAAAGGGGGCAGCCAAAAATCACATCCAACCGAACCATCAAAACAAGAGGCCAGCAGCTGTCCAGGAGCAGCACCCGAAGAGCTATAAGGGGAACCGGAAAGGCAACCAAAGGAGACAGGAACGAACATCGCAGGGAACTGGAACAGGCAGCCAAAGGGGGGGAAGAACTAGCCACGAGAAGGAGCCAGGGGGAGGAATCGAAGGGGCAACAGGTGGGGGGAATTAATCTAATTAATTTCAATTAATGAGCTGGAGCACAACAGCTCTAAAAAAACACAGCAAAAACTGGACAGCCAAGTCCAAACCGAGAACCACAAGCAGCCAAATAATTGGGCTCATGATCCCACCCCCCTATGCCTACATCAGGGAGGAACTGAAGGGGAAATAGGTGAGGGGAATGAATCTAATTAATTTCAATTAATGAGTTGGAGCACAACAACTCCGAAAAAACATAGTAAAAACCGGACAGCCAAGCCCAAACCGAGAACCACAAGCAGCCCAAAAATTGGGCTCATGATTTACCCCCCCCCCCCCCCCCTTTTCCCCCCCCCCCCCCCCTCGCTTACATCATAACCAATCAAGAGTAAAAGACAAAAACTGATTTACATACTACTCTAACTATACCTTACAAGCTTTTTGAGAATGTTATTATGAACATTGTTTTAAAAATGCCTTTTTATGAAGTATATGATTGCATCATTTGTGGTAGTCAACCTTTTTTTAAAAGATGCTTTTCATTCCTTGTGATGAGAATCTAAAGGAAACACTCTAGCTAAATTATATTTCAATGAAGCCTTTAAATTACATTGGCTGCCTAAAATTATCATATTTAATATAGATGTAAAATTTATGGTTATTTTTTAAAGTTTTGAAAAAAAAGAAGAAATTTCTAGTTGCTAATAACCTAAAAAGTGACACAAATTGAGATAATTTATAAAACAATCTAAGTGATATGTCACCATACATGTCAATAGCGCCCATTATTGTGCATAACGTAGCGAGCCGCTCCCGACACCGAGCTTTTTGTATGGCAAAATGCAGGGATAAAAATAGAGCAAATTATTTGTGCTATGGATAGGAAATAGTACATAATACCCTTAGAGCACTCTATTTTGATTTGTAAAATTTAAGGTTTAAAGTTAAAAGTAAATATTATTTATATTTTATTTTTATTTGTGTGATTATTAGGGTAACGAATTCAAAAGGTTCTTTAAGACAAGCACTAAGACTCAAGCATGTGATCAAAAAGGGTTCGAAGGTAACTACGACCACATTTGCAACTACGAAGGGCTCAAAGAAGTCTGCAACTATAAACATGAAGCGTTTGGCATGCGACGCAACACGCAAAATCAAAGGCAACTACAATGGGATTCAGCATGCAACTACTATGGCAAAGTTGAAGACGATAGTGACTGCAAGGGGGTTCGATAGGTGTTGGCATGCAACAATGATGGGGAGGTTAGTAATGTCGAAGGTTGAGCTTTTAATGGAGACAATGATGGATGGACGCCAATAGATGGTGCAAAGGCTTTGCCATATGACAACAAAGGAGATGTTGGGTGCTTTCACAGTTGACAACAATATTCTCAAAACTTAATAGGCCTCTCACTCTTTTATAAATAAAAATTGATTCTTAGAAATGTCTATCTTATAAAGTTCAAGCCTTTTTAATATTTTATATTATGTTTAAAATATTATGTGATACATAATGACTCCACAAAGATCTTTATGTGCATTATTCACCATAAAAATTATGCCTATCAAAGTCAACAGTGAGTTTTCATATATTTTCTCTCAAAAAAATCCACTAGCATAAGTTTAATTGAAATAGTTATCAATATTTTGCACGATGTAGGCAAATTAGTATGAAAATATTTCCCAAAAACTTGTTAACTGCAAAAATTGCAAATTTATTATAAATGTACATGATAAAATGAATTAAAAGAAGTGACAAGCTCATGCTCCAAGTTCAGAATGGCTACATCCATAAACTCTTATGCAATTAACTACAGGAAATAAACGACCATAAAAAAGTTATACAGATTATTGGGAAATGCATCGAAATTACAAATCCAAATAAAAAACTTTTGGTATCATTCCAATTTTTCATATATCAAATTTTATATCATAGCAATCAACAAGTACTTGAGATTTTCTCTTTTTCTACCAGCATTACACTATTTTTACATCTAAATTTTTATACACCATCTCCACATTCTCTAGCAACAATAAAAATCTTACCAGCTTTCAATGATTTTATATCCAAATACCCAATACCTCATCTGTAAATTCTCCAGACAACTATAATAATCATACTCAGCTATTATTTGCAATGAAATCATGACCAATGTTGATGGTGAATACCAAAGGTAAATTAAAAAGTAGATAACCAGGCCTATATGTGATGATTCATGATTATCTCTATATGAAACCTAATAAAGATGCCAACTCCTACTCAATAGAATGTCTTGCGACTATTCCTATGAACAAATATTTAAGCCTCTTGTGGGGTGTTATTATGGCATGTTGTGGCTCTTCTTGCAACGAAATACATACAAAGCATACATGATAATAGCGCAAAATAGCGTGTGTCATAGTGCACGACACGGCGCACCTACGATGCCATCTATACGGCTGGGTGCAAAGGTTCAAAATGTTGCACACTATTTGCGCCCTATATGCACAATGGTGCATGGCACATGACGCAAATAGCGAGCGCAATTTTATTTAGAGATTTTTTAATATAATTATAAATGTTTTTTAGTACTTATATATTTTTAATTTCTAAATTAATATAATAATGAAATTTAAAATTATTAAGTATGATAAATTTTAGTTGGGTTTTTATTAAACTTTATGTCTTTTCCTATCGCCCGAACCCTCCGACACTCATAAAGGAAGCTTTAGGGTTCAAAGCTTGTTGTTCTACTTCTTCATTCGACTTCTTCCAACAAAGGTAACAAGCCCTCGCTTCGTCGCTAGGTCACGACACACAACTTTTGACACCCTCTTCGTCACCTCCTTAAACGAAGGTGTGAGATAGGAAGTCACAAAGGAAGCTTGCCGTAAGATAACGATCTCTAATACGCCTTCTTCCTCTTGTCGTTTCTTCCTATGCTGGCTTCTGCCAAATGTAACAAGACCACTCCCCATCGTTGCTAGGTCACGACTCACTCTATTCCTGTCAGTTAGGAAGTCACGACTCACGAAGGTAGCGGTCGTAAGGTAATTCTTGTGCCTTTTCTTACCTTAGCTGAAGGTAATGAGCCACCTCTCCAATATTAATCCTTCACTTTATGCATCCCCAATCTTTCTTTCAGGTTCCAAGCTCCTCATCATCAATTTTAATGTCTAATTTCTTCCTTCAATATCTAATTTTATAAATCAGTTAGTGTTATCCTTCATTCTTCTTCTAAGCATTTTTATTATTGCTTGCTCCAAATCTTCTAAGCATTTTAAATTTTGAAGGTTATTAAACACTTCACAATGAACTTGTGCATCACTTTGGTTGTTATTATTATTATGATAGTTTATCTTTCTGTTTAATAATATTTTATATTAATACCCTTTCTATAATTATTTTATATTTTGCATCATATTCAAAATGGCGTGCGTCGTGACGCATGCTATGCGCCTGGCTCTACGGGATAGTTTGCGCCATGGTGCACCATTCGTTGTTGACAAGTATGATACAAAGTATAACCGCTGTCCCTCATGCAGTTGACAAATTATTTTGAAGCTTCTATAGAAATATTACGCAATCTTATTTAGTTTTCATGAGGAAAACTTTCTAATGTGAGAAAATTATTATGGATGTGCAAACCATTCATCCTCCAATATTTTAGTTCTTGATCATGTCTGAGACTCAGAATTTTAAACTCTACTCAACCGTGTGGCTTGTCTATCAATTATTTCTCCTTTCCCTCTATCTAGTTCTTCCTTTTTATTCTTTATCATTATTAATTAAAAGTCCTACTGAATTTTATTTGATCTACAATAAGATATTTTTTATATATGCACAAAATTCCATTTGCTGATGTTCTTTTCATGATTATTTATTTTTTATTCTTACTTTCAATTAAAAAACCCTAGTCGTTTTCTAATTATATTCTTAACATGTTTTTGTTTTGATCAAATGGTTGTAGCAGTTTTGAGATTAACAACTAGCTCTCTTGTGAAAGTTGCACATTTGTTGAATCTGCTAGTTGAACCTAAATTTGCATTGAATACAAAATCTATATTAAATATTCTATACCTTAAAACATCCTACAACACAAATGAAACAAAGAAATTCATAAACAACTTCACCTATTTTAGATCTACAATTTTTGGTAGCATGATGGTGACCAAAATTAATAATTTACTTCTTACAACAAAAGATGTCAAACATTAACTTTAAGAGTTTCAGAGAAGAAATCAATTTGTTTTATAAACTTAACGAGATTTAAGATCCTAAAAGAGAGAATAACTTACCCGGTACCCACCATCAAACATTGCTCGAAAAGCATCAGAGGAAGCAAGTAAGGCGATTCTATGTGCATAAAACCGCCTCCCTGATAAAATAAATCAAGTGAATTAAAAAAAAAAAAAAACTCCTGTTTGTGAATGATTAACGAGCCCCATTCTGATCACAGATTAAAAGGAATTAAAAAATAATCACTGAAAAAAAAAACATTCCACAACCTTCAACTAGAAATGTAACATCGGATATGGTTGAACTATTGACAAAGCGTTCACCAAGGTAAACCTGCAATAAGAATTGTAAGCCATACATTAAACCACTAAATCAAAAAAAAAAAAAAATCTTAACTATCCGCAAATGCAATTGATTTTACTGGAAAAAGTAATAAGTTCTATTACCATGAGTACTTAGAACAACAAAACTACAAATTAAATAAACTTGTCAAACTAGTGTTTTCAAAGCGCTAAGCGCCATATAATGTACAATTTTTTATTTATTTTTTCAATAAGCAAAGCACAAAACGAAGCAGTGCTTTACTCACTAGAGCATTCATGAGTTGTTATATATTATGTACACATATTTTGTGCATACAATGGTTATTTAACCAAACATAGACAACATCAGCTAATAATTTTTCAATAAATATAATGATGCATGCAATAACAATAATTTATGGCTATTTAAAAACTACAAAGAATCAAATGTATAAATAATAAAGTGATATAAGAATACCTAAATATCAAGAATATACTCACGAGATTGTGTGACCAACTATAGAGATCAACATAAAGGGGCAATGTTAAGCTAGAGATAGCATGAAGATGACGCATCGAAAATCATTCTAAAGAAAAAAACTTGTGAGCAATAAGCTACTAACACAAAAAACAAAAACTAATTAAAATCATCTTAAAACTAGCGAGGGAGTTAGCCTTGAGAGAATAACCACCCAAAAGTGACTAGCTCTAATGAAAGAGAACAAAAAAAAACAATGAGCAATGACTATGAGAAATAATACGAAATAAACAATCGTACATTGTTATTGTGGCAAATATGAAACAGAATCATAAATCTAAACCATATTTCGCTTCACTTAGAGTAATGGAGAGCATAGCAATATGATGCAACAAATCAGTGTAACACATTCACTTGTTGCGACCATGCGCTTCACAAGAAAGCAATGCACAAGACTAGGACATCGTTTTATTTTGCTCCTAAAGTGTGCTTTAAACAACATTGTGAGAAATAAAACATTTTTTCCTCTCAATATTAAGAAGATAAAAGTGAGGAATATTTAAGTGTGGCATATAACTTGTGATAAACACCGAGCACATAGAGAGTTGGAAGAAACTAGTATAGAATGAGAACCGATAAGATAGAGAGAATAAAGGGAATAAAAAAATTTTGACGAACGAACAAATAAAGAAGAGGGAGGCAAGGGTAGAGATAATAGCAAAAAATATAAACAATAGAAGGGGTAGAACCTCCAAAGTGGAGGCCACACAAAATTCTAAATCTCTATTGATCATACAATTAACCCCTAATACAGGGTAAGCACTTCTTTTATAAATTCAAAGACACGAATGCTTGCCTAGAACATGTTAAGAATATAAATGAAGGAAAAAATATCCTTTCTTATGTCTATAAAACACACTTAAAAAGTCTAAAATTAAATGGAATCATGACATGTTGAAACAATTCCCTTGGGATACAAATAACTCTACTTCAAAGAGTTGAAATGTTAAAAGAGAAAGAACTAAGGTCTTCAACTATAATGTAAAGCTAGCAAAGACCACCTCGAAGAGAAGAGAAATGAGATATCAATCTTGGAAATGAGGTGAAGAATCGAAAATTATCCTCAGGGCAGAAGAGACAAAAAGGATGAACATCACTAATTCAACAATCTAAATAGAAAATTCTTTTCAGCCATTCTCAAGAACATGATTAGCTTTGAAAGGGCGTGTTTGAAAGCTTGAAGGTCATTACACACTAAATTAAATAGACTCAATTATTGGATGATTAAAAGCCTTTTTTCACATTTTATTATTTAAGTTCATGACTTGAAAGATCAATTTAGGTTAAACCAAACCATGTTTATTTGGATTTTATGAATTGAAAAAGCCGGTGAGAACATTAAGGAACATGCAAAAGTAATATAACGAGCAAGCGAGATAGCTAAAGTGCAAAATGATAACGGGTAAGGTAGCCATGTATGGGAGTGACTTGTGCTTTTGGTGCAAGAAACGAGATGAAAGATGTGGAGAGCAAGCATCATGAAGGAAAATTACAAAAGAGTTGCAAACAAGTGAATGGAACAACAATTCAGAAGTGTATTCAAGCAATCAAAGGCACACAATGTAACAAATACAAAAAAGAACGTAGATATGCAAATAGATCATATGTGTGGGAGCATTAATTGCATGAGGGAAGAATGATTTTTGTGCAAGTAACAATCATGATGATGTGGGTTGAGCAAAGAGGCGTGTGAGTGGTTGCATGAGGCAAAACAAAAGATTAAGAATTGATTAGTGAGCTCGAGTAGATCATAAATCTAATAGGGAAAAGAGAATCATAGGTAGGCGCAATATGGAAAACGAGCAAGATATGAACTACAATAAAGGGAAGACATGGACGCACACAATGAACAAAACACAATGTAGAACTATGAGCTATGAAACATGATGTCTTTGAAGGCGATGAAGTTAGGCAGATAGAATGGAAGCGAATGAGTCAATGTTAAGCTTTTATACCAAATTAATTATGAAGGCACTAAAAGTTGGAAGAATTCAATATAAGAAGAGAACACCTGCAAACAGCTTCTAAATTATCATGCAAAATCATGGCTCAGTACATTAGAAATTGGTGGTCTTCTCATGATGGTAATCTCCAAGTGAGAATTTTATTTGACATTTTAATAGATAAAGAGGAACGCAGAACCTAAAGACTGTTAAAAATGTTAAAATAAATAGATATCAGGTTCGTTTTCTTGAGCTCTAGACTGTTACTGTTATTGATCTTAATTTTTAAAATGCAATTTCTCAAAAGCATCAATAAAACCTAAAAAATAAATACTAAAAGCATCAAGGAGTTTGCGATAGAAGACAAACTTAATAATATTTTGTTAACCTCTCCAGTAACAATACTTGGTCATTGCATAGCCACTGCTCTGGCTAGTTGGGCTATGGTTGGAGGAAACCAACCTGTGGTGTTGGAGATGGAGGAGCTGCATCCATAGGTGAGAGAGCCATGGCTTTGTTAGCTAACTTGAAAAGTGCTACAAAACCATCTTCTTGTTGTTTTGAATTTGAAGATCCAAGCAAACTGAGAAGCACATCAAGCCCTACATAACCATAAATTAAAAAATAATAATAATTAATATTAATAAGATAGTTTTGCACTAGAATAAAACTTCCAATATATATATATATATATAGAAAGTTATGATACCGTTGTTGTCAATGAAAATAGTTCGTTGGTCCTCAGGGGAACAAAGGTGAGCCAAAGCCAATGCAATTCGTCTTTGAATAAGCTTCTCTTCAATTCTCATCACATAAAGTAAATGCTTCAGAACCTGGCACAGGTAACAGAACCAAGTTAATAACATTATGGCACTTTTAAAAAAACTCACAACGAAAATAATACCAAATAAAAATAAATAAATGTAAAAAAGAATGAACAAAATGTGGGTTACGAACAAGTTAATGAAGCAAATAAAACAAAAAGAAACCAATATAAACTCACTCGATCATGGATTTTCTCCTCCAATCTTTTCAATGTTTTTGCCACACAATCTTTCGTTGCCTATGTTAATTCAATTAGATGTTAATTAGATAACATAAAAAGCATCCCTATAGCACTTGCATCATTTCATCTTCAAGACAGCATAAATCATTGCCAGAATGATTAGTAGGAATACCTGAACAATGAATTCACCCTCTTGCAACTTCTGGACACCCCCAATGCTCATAAAACCTGAGACATTGTCCTATAAAAAGAAGATAAGCAATATCTTCCAGATCGCTCAGTAAATTGAATAATAGCTCAAAGATTTTGGCGCCCAAACTTCACAATTGATAAGGATATAATCAAATAGAAGAGTTTGTTGGCTCTTACCTCATTATCTGCAATTCCATATAGTGCAAACGCTGCATTATGTTGAAGAGAGCCATTCTTTGAATCAAGAAGCTTTAGGAGAGGAACAAGACCACCTTCGTAAGCAATACCGGCTTGATTATGTGAGTCCTGAAAATGGTTGCACATGACGATAGCAAGAAACTCATTAAATCTCATGGCAAAACGTATATCATTTGCCAGAACTATGAACTTGGCCAGCAATTGTTCTATAGAAAAAATGATGAGAAAGTCAAAAGAGCAAGCATAAATATTGGAATTATTAGGCCTTTGTTACACACAACAGTGATAAGAACATCGATAGAGAAAAAGCTCCTTAGAGGTTCAGATGCCTGGCCATTAAACTTTATACCATAAATTACAAATAGGGACAAATTTCTGAAACTTGTATCAGTACCCACTTTTTTGAACAATGAAAGCATGTTAGACTGATCAATCACCCCAGATTCCCTAACTGGACATGAATCAAAGTGGGACACCATCATGGAATTTTCAATGCAAATGAAAAACATGCACAGACCAACCATGGCTCCTCCATCGACTCATTCGATTGGTATTCATAGGCGACCCTGGCATACTTCATCCTAATTCTGTTTTATTGGTGCTTAATTTTCTTGTAGATGTTAAGCCTCAAATACTTCTACCGCAAGATATCATCAAATGTCATCTCTATTTCATTACTCAATTTATACTTCATTTAACTCATCTCTGCTAAACTCAATTTGCTTGCCTGCTCCTTTTTTTGAGAAAGCAAAACTTAAATTTCTAACACTTACCTGACCTCATCTTCCTTGGACAAATCCCATCAACTACCATGATATTCATAACTCAACACATGACTGACTATTCCTCTCCATGTAATCAAACAAGATTAAGCCATAAAAGATAATTTCATATTTGATATTTTCATGCTTCTATATAAAATATTTGAAATATCTAAACTTGTCAATAGAATCACTTCATATTTATTCAGTGCAGGTTGATTATGGTCAATTCATTGTTCACCAAATAAGATAACATAGCCCCAGCATCTGCCTAATCGTTCCAGTCCCCTGTCCTACAAGGCTTTTCTTCCATTTCTTCAGCTTGGCATTCAATTCAACTTATTGTCTAAGTCACTTTTTTCTTAATTGTCTGAGTCACATCTGGTAAAACAAAGTATCAATTAGCATACGTTGCAATCTTTTACTACAAATAACCATTGAGACTGCTTAAGAGCAGTTATTAACTAATAGAAAATATATCATAATTCCGATCTCTGAGACAACCCTAGCGTGATTGAATTGTTTCTTCTTATTCCAAAACTACTCTAAATAATAGCAATAGTTTCATCTGCATAGCTTCAATGAATTCAATATACATTAACGTGCGCAATGTAAATGATCATTATACTACTTTTTACCCAAAAAAAGAATCAAGGAAAAAAAATCACATTGTCGCAAATCACTCCAACCATGATTTCTTTGATGTCCTTATCATGGATTTCCTCAACATTTCCAATGAATTCTACTAATAATTATTCCTATATATTGTACCATCGCTTTGAGCAATAGACCTGAGATATCTATAATGTGTATTCTTCTTAATGGCTTGATCACCGAGTGACACAATGAAAAAAGAAAACAAACCTATTTTAGTGCAGCACTTCTGGAAAACCAAACTAATTTTTTAGTACTAGTCTTTTTTCATTTTGTAGTATTTTATTGCATTAATCTCACTAAGCTTTATCATAGGATTTATAAGCTTAATGTGAAGAATATTAATAAAATTTTAATCAAACTCTATCTTTAATATATTCGAAGGCCTTGCTAGCAATCATTTGACAAACATTTTCTATTATGTAAATTACGTCGACAGACACAATGAAACATTGCATGAATTGAGAGATTGAAAATCAAGCCAAAGGCTGGAGCAAAAAAAACCTGAGCCAGTCTCCCAAGTGCAAAAGCAGACATCTCTTTAAGCTGTGCATCATTTGACTGAAGCATGCTAATCAGAGGACGGACTGCGCCACGCTGTACAATGTGCACCTGCAGCAAGCTAAGAGTCCAATCAAGACTAAAGAGATATTGCCCACTTTCATAACAGAAGAAAGAAAGAAACTTCGATATCTGTATATATCATCTAGTGCATCACCTTGCAGTCTGAATCTGTTGCAGCAAATTGCCCAAGCAATAGAGCAGCTTCTCTTTGGCTCTCCGTACAACATGAGCTGCAATTAAGCATCTTCGTTAAGTTAAAAGTTTCCCTTGCATGTAATATAACGAGTATGAAAGCCCTGGACATATCCTGTGCATTGGAATATTGATGACAGGTAACACTCTTAACAGATCAAAAAGAACACAGGAACATTAAGAATCAGAAACGTGAGATTATTCAATAGCAATTACATTTATAAATCTCTTGATGGACCCAAGTTGTTTTAATTCCTATAGCAATGATAATGTATCATCTGTCACCTCCTTAAAATTTGCTGTTTATCACAAGATTAGTAGGTGGATGTCCATCATAACAGTTGACATAAACAGGAAGAGAATGATATGAAAATACGTTGATATAAATTACACAGCTGAGTTAACTGAAATTTTGGTTTCACTTTCACATAAACATGCAAGGGAAAATTAGATCTATTAATGAAACCCAACAAGCCCAAAAGTAAATAATGAGCTTTTTTTTTTTTCAAATGTACTGTAATACAACTTTTGCTGCACTAATAACTATGCTGGTGCAAAAAACTATATACTTTTAGAATAACAGATAGCCCCAACAATTCAATCATTTATAAGGTTAGAACTTTATTAATCACAATTCTGCGAGAACTGCTACATCATTCCAAAAAACTGTAGAGAAAGTAAAAAAAACATACAGAAAATTCTTTCAAGATTAATATGCTTATAGTCATAGAATAATCCAATAATTGATAAGCAACAATTATAAAAATACCTTAATAGATCAATAACAGGTTGTAGAGCACCGGCAGCAAGAACTTCTTTTTTAATGTTTGGTGATGAATGAACCAGGTTCCCAATAACACCTACCTATGAACAACGGAACAAAACAAGGTTCGTGAGTTATTCCATTATTTTTGGATGAAAAGACAGAAGATAATGACAACACCTTATAGAATAAGAAATCAATATGCAGTGAAACTGTGAAAGTGCGATGATTTTCTAGATGCATGTACCCATCCATTATTCATAGGGGTGTCAATGAATTACTCAACACAGAACTGACTCGAAAAATCGAGATTTGGATGACCCGATTAAATTTTAAATCAAATGCAAGCATGAAATGTTGATCTGATTACATTTTTGGTCAGGCTCGAGTTGACTTGGAAAATACGAAATTGACTAAAAATTGACCAAATTAATATTCAGTTTTAGATTAAATGACTAAGTCATGTTGATCCAAAAAATGCATTATCCATATAAGAAACATGTTAAACAATTTTGATAAGTGTTAGGCGGGTTTTGATCAAATGTTTTGATCCATATAATAAAAGAGTCGAGCTCGGGTCAAGCATAATCAGGTTTTGTCAACTTTGAGTCAAACATAAACCCGATCCATGATCCTAATCGGACACCCCTAATCCTGCAAGGCTTCAATCAATTTGTTTAAATCGGTGCCCTATGTTGAAGCATACTAACTTGCCAAGTATCTATGTTTCTAAAACCTTTTCAAAAAGTAGAATAGTATGATTATAAATTTTTTTTTTCCTTCTCAGGATATCTCAAAGAACTTATTGCTTCCATAACTTAAACAATCAATTGGACGTTCATGATCATTCCCAAACAACAGCAAAATCAATAATACATCTTGCGTTGCACCATATCAAGACATCTAAACAAAAGATGAACAAGTTATTTAACAAATTATCAAAAAACACTTTTTCAGAAAAAAAAAAAAAAGAAAATACTTGAAAAGCATAAAATAGAAATAAACAAGAAATTCATCTTCTATAAGCATGATAAGCCATTCTATGAATAGTCCAACAAATGAACGCCTATGGGTAATGTATTGAATCTTACAATACCAAAAGAAAAATCTTGGATAGGGTTATACTTCAAGAAGATCCAAAATAAAAATAAACAAGAAACTTCATGTTCTCTATGAGTATCACGAGTAGTTCCATGAATAGTCCCACAATGAATACCAAAAGAAAAATATTGGATAGGGTTATACAGATGTAGATTAGATCGGATCAACAACAGCTCGAAGATCAATTACAATGTATTATATTTATGTGCAGGGGCGACATGGTTGTTTGGGAGCAATAGACAATCAAAAATAGCCTGAAGATGCACAAAAGTTGAATATAGAGTTGTCCCACAACATATGAAAAAGTATGTGGCTAAATAAGCTACTTGAAGAGCTACTGTCAATTATAAAATCTACTACAAAGTTGTTCTAAGCATTGTAAAAAACCTTATTTATCATGGCATAACAAAACATATAGAAATCAACCTTCACGTCATCAAAGAGAAGCTAATGAAGGAAACATGAAGCTCATATACATGTCTGAAAATCTCCAAACAATAGATATTCTTATAAATCCATTGTCCTGTATCAAATTTAAAAATTTAAAGTTCAAACTGAGAATGACTCAACTTAAGGGGTACTCTATATATTCAAATTTATCTTTTCCGTGCATTGAAGAATCTGAAAATATCTTCCTATATAAAAAGGATTTTATGTTTGGGATAGGGAGAGATTTTTAAAAATTGGTCCATATCTCTTTCCCTTTAGTTGTTTCTTTTTTTCCTATATTTTTTGGTAGCTTTTAATTGTAATCAATGGCTAGATGATAGAGGGATTTTTGACTTCTTACTATAAAGTCTCCTCATGTTTCATGTATCAAAAGAAAAAGAAAATAAAGAAATAAAAAGCTTCAAATTTTCACCAAATTCAACAGGATGTTTCAGTCATTTAAAGTACTTTCAGTTTGAATACATTAACTAACTTTACAATCTTCTGCCTTTAGATTGCACCCCATTTTCCTAAGTATTAAGAAAATTCACTTTCTAAAACACATGGTCCAGTTTTAGCGCTAAGACATTCTGTTGATGCTTTGAATTGACGTAATCAATATGCATCTACCATAGAACAAAAATTATAATTCTTAAATAAATTTTAAGCACAAAACCTAATATAATTTCACTATCCATTCATTAAAAGATTATTCATGATGAGAAAATAGATATCCTTCTGCTGGTCAGTAGTACACTAATCTCCACATGTGAAGATGCATAAAAGTAGACCCCGGCTTCAACAATAATTCAAAAACAATAAGCATGGAAAGAATTAGGACAGTCGGCTTAAGTGAAAACAGTCATAGAGGTTAATCTTACAATTCTCAAACACTGAGACCACAATTTAAAGTTCAAACTGAGAATGACTCAACTTAAGGAGTACTCTATATATTCAAATCTATCTTTTCCGTGCATTGAAGAATCTGAAAATATCTTCCTATATAAAAAGAATTTTATGTTTGGGATAGGGAGAGATTTTCGAAAATTGGTCCAGATCTCTTTCCCTTTAGTTGTTTCTTGTTTTTCCTATGTTTTTTGGTAGCTTTTAATTGTAATCAATGGCTAGATGATAGAGGGATTTTTTACTTCTTACTATAAAGTCTCCTCATGTTTCATGTATCAAAAGAAAAAGGAAATAAAGAAATGAAAAGCTTCAAATTTTCAACAGATTCAACAGGATGTTTCAGTCATTTAAAGTACTTTCAGTTTGAATACATTAACTAACTTTACAATCTTCTGCCTTTAGATTGCACCCCGTTTCCCTAAGTATTAAGCAAATTCACTTTCTAAAGCACATGGTCCAGTTTTAGCGCCAAGACATTTTGTTGATGCTTTGAATTGACGTAAACAATATGCATCAACCATAGAACAGAAATTCTAATCCTTAAATAAATTTTAAGCACAAAAGCTTATCTAATTCCACTATCCATTCATTATAAGATTATTCACGATGAGAAAACATATGTCCTTCTGCTGGTCAGTAGTACACTAATCTTCGCATGTGAAGATGCATAAAAGTAGACCCCGGCTCAAACAATAACTCAAAAACAATAAGCATGGAAAGAATTAGGACAATCGGCTTAAGTGAAAACTGCCATAGAGGTTAATCTTACAATTCTCAAACACTGAGGCCACACAATTTAAAGTTCAAACTGAGAATGACTCAACTTAAGGGGTTCTCTATATATTCAAATATATCTTTTCCGTGCATTGAAGAATCTAAAAATATCTTCTTATATAAAAAGGATTTTATGTTTGGGATAGGGAGAGATTTTCGAAAATTGGTCCAGATCTCTTTCCCTTTAGTTGTTTCTTGTTTTTCCTATGTTTTTTGGTAGTTTTTAATTGTAATCAATGGCTAGATGATAGAGGGATTTTTGACTTCTTACTGTAAAGTCTCCTCATGTTTCATGTATCAAAAGAAAAAGAAAATAAAGAAATAAAAAGCTTCAAATTTCCACCAGATTCAATAGGATGTTTCAGTAATTTAAAGTACTTTCAGTTTGAATACATTAACTTACTTTACAATCTTCTGCCTTTAGATTGCACCCCGTTTCCCTAAGTATTAAGCAAATTCACTTTCTAAAAAACATGGTCTAGTTTTAGTGCCAAGACATTCTATTGATGCTTTGAATTGACGTAAACAATATGCATCTACCATAGAACAGAAATTCTAATCCTTAAATAAACTTTAAGCACGAAACCTTATCTAATTCCACTATCCATTCATTATAAGATTATTCATGATGAGAAAACAGATATCCTTCTGCTGGTCAGTAGTACAGTAATCTCCGCATGTGAAGATGCATAAAATTAGATCCCGGCTCCAACAATAATTCAAAAACAATAAGCATAGAAAGAATTAGGACAGTCGGCTTAAGTGAAAACTGCCATAGAGGCTAATCTTACAACTCTCAAACATTGAGGCCACACGTTAGATGGATATAGTCAACATGTCAATAGAAAAATAAATTACACAATAATTAAATTATAGAACAAGAAGTGTTTGACGGATTTTAGTATTTCATATCACAAACTAAATTAGAGATGCGGATGGCATAAATTGCTTTTTAAAACTAGGTTGAACAATAGTATTAGAAGAGCATATTAGTCAAAGTATGACAAAAGTATTCTTAAAAGCAATTAGGCCTCCTACTTCAACTACAGTATCAGTAGAATCTAACCGCTTCATAATGAACAGCAGCATCATGAGAACGAAGCATAAGAATAAGTGTTGGGAGTGCGTTGCATTCCACTATCTGAAGGTAAAAAGTTCAATTAAAGGGTCAAAATAGCTTTTTCTTATTTGTAGCAATTTCTATGAATGAAAAAACACTAACTTGGTTCTTGTTCTCATCATTTTTGAAAGCCAATGTTCGCAAGGCTCCAGCAGCTGCTCTCTGCACCTTTGGATCTGCAGATTCTAGAAGTTCAACAAGAGGTGGAATGCCACCTTCAATTCTGAATATAGAAGAGGTGCGCATATGCATCAGACTGACAAACAGCATATGAAAGCTATATATTAAACATTCTGAAGCATGCTGGACTACCTAACAAAGGTTTTAATGGTGCTATTTTCATGAGCAAGATTAGTGATGGCATCAGCAGCTCTGCGTATAAGGCTACTAACAGCCCGTGTATGATGGCCCCTCCTATGCCTTCCCAAGAGACCCACAAGAAGAGGTAAGGCACCAGCATCAACAATTAGCTGCTGATGCTCAGGCTGTACACAAAAAAAAAAAAAAACACAGTCATACTTTACAATTAGTTGAAAAATAACCAATCCACAAAAATGAAACTAAAAAGTACATCATGTCCATATATTATAAAAAAATCATGTCTCTCAGCATGCTATTATTTAAACCGTCAAAAAGTAATAGCAAGGATGATAAGTATTTTGAGCAGCATAAGAAAATAAACAAAAAACTGTAAAAGATCCAAAAGTCCGGGAGCCATTAAGAAGAAAATGGCTTTCCTTCAACCAATTCATTTTAGGAAACTTTTCACCGGCCTCCACTCATAGCCTGCATACTTAAAAGAAAAAAGATATTGTTTGCTTAATACAAAGTCCTTTAAGTTTATGTTTCTTTGGAAACATAAACAACTAGATCCACAACATAATTATAATATAAAATATAAATATCTCCCTTATCTAACTCCATAATCCTCCCTTGGTAGCCACCATGAACCCTTGCTGGCATAGCACGTAAGCTCACTTGGGTTACAAAGCTCACACTGGAATTTGTGCAAGTAGATTTGTTTTTTGACCTTTCACTCCTCACTGGCACTTAGGAGGCTTGTTACCAATTATTCGTGGTGCTAAGAGCCCACTAGCAAGAGCACCAGGCGAAAAGCCTAAATGGATGGGGAAGAACTAGAGAGTTCTGAGTTTACCAAATACTTTTTAGTTAACAAACCAGTTCCAAAAAAGAAATTGACGTTTAGGTTGCACTCAGCCCAACCATTCTTGGGTTACAACAAGGGCATGCCTGACAGACAAACAATTTAAAACGAGATGTCTCAATTGTCTGCTTGGGTTGCACGCAACCTAGGCAAAGATACCTGGTTGAGCTGCAACACACAAAAAAGTGCCTAGGGTAAATTGTAAGTTTGCAATCTATACAAAGATACCTGCTGGAGCACAACCCAAGCATGAGGTTATGCATTTTTGTTCAATTAAATTGTTTTTATAAGCAAAAATACATTGGTAGAAAAAATAATTTGTATAAAGCAAACTGCCCACATTCTCTGACATGAGATCCCACAAAGATCCTGTAATCCTATGCAGATACCCATGTTTGATTGTTTCAAGATCCTTCCACATTGATATTGTTGGGACACTTTACAATTGGTGAGCTCGCAAAGATTTTTGAGCAACTTTGCTGATATCAACTCTATGAAGAGAAGCATGCTGACAAGATGATGGTGAAGAAGAGGTAGGAGGTAGAAGCTATTTCAGAAGTGGATTAACAATAATTATTTTTTTGTTTAATTTTAACAGAATTTGTTTACAAAAAAAGCTTGTGTATTCGAATTACAAAAAATAACCAGCCCATTTGATAATAGGGATTTATTTTGCAAATTTTCCTTTTGTAATATGATGAGCTAAGCAAATTATGTTTCCAAAAGATAAGCAAAAGCATGGAGTGCAAGGAGCATAATACAAAAAAATAAACAAGAATGTAGATTTGATAACCTCCATCAAAAGCTGTAAAGCATTTCAAATGCAACAATTGCCTAGTCCTCCATAATTTGTTTCATTTTCCTGCAACCGTTCTTGCTTCCTAATTTAATATAGTGAGGTAAATACCAAAACATTCGATGTTCAAATAAAATCGTACAACTTCCAACAAAAATACATTTTAGTTTTGCATTAAGCTACGCTTCATGTCAACAGAGAGGATCATGCAAGCAGCAAATTCCACTATTCTTTTAACAAGAACGAAGAGGTGAATTTATTTTCTTCCACATGAACAGATGCTTGAATCCAATAGTCAGCGTTAAGAAAAAAGTGAAAATAATCGAACATCTTTTGTACTAGGACAAAAGATCAAAAGCCCATTTTTTGAACCCAAATTTAAAAATAATTCATTACCATTTTTATCAATATGCAGCCAAACATAGTTTAGTTACGCTTTGACTGAACAGCTCAATTACAATTCAGTTAAATGATATCAGCTCTCACTCCCATGAATCCTAGGTAAACTAGCAAGGGTACCAAAACCTTTTTGTTAGCTCTCCCAAATCAGTTATTTTACATCTCTGCCTAGTAAACGCAAAGAGTTAAGAAAACAGTGACCAATAGGAAAAAAATCCAGCATACATCTAGGAAGCCAGGAAGCCTGATCACGCGAGACAATTACTACAACTTTTATACCTTAACGGCCAGAAGGCCCAAAGCAAATGCACTCCCTTTCTCCACGTCATGCTCGAAATGACGGTCTCCCCCGCCATCGCCATCCATAACCAGAGCCGTGGGCTCCTGCAGATGCCGAACAAGTGCAGGGACAGCCCCATTCTCGACTATCACGTTCACAAGCTCCTCTGCGAGACCTCTCTCAGTAAGCGTACATCAATCACAACTCAAAAACAGGAAAGGAAAACGAAGTGCGCCGAAACCGCAAGGAAAAAACGTAGGAAGATTAAACCCGTACCGTTCTTTGCAAGGTCGGCGAGGGCATGAGTGGCGTTTTTAGCGGCTTCCCGATCGGCTCTCCTCCATGAGAAGGCTCTCTCTAGGACCTCTACCTGGTCCCTCACCTGGTCGGCTAGGGTTTCTAAAGAGGTCTGGCAGCAGATCTCGCTGGCGCCACCATCCTCCAACGCTTCGTCCTCTTCAGCCGCTGCTGATGGAGTGGCAACGTCCTCCAACTTTCTCTTCTGGCCCTTACGCTGCTGTGCCGTGGCTGAGAGCTGCTGGCGCCGTTGCTCCTCCATGGGAGGAGATCGAGCGGATACCAGGACGGAGCCTAAGGAAAGAGTTTACGTGCCTAAATCAATACTTTATTTTTGTCCAGAAGAAGAGTGAATATTCTAATTTCCAATCTACCCGCCTTCTCTTCGCCCTTTTCGATTATTTTCTTAAAAAAATAATTTTTTGACGGAATATCTAAAGCTAATAAACTTATACGAAATCAGTCAAAAATAGTTTCCTTTTCTCTACTCCGGCAATCTGTCGTTCATAAAATTTCAAACTTCATACTTAAAAAAAAAGTGTGTTATAATATAAGAGAAATTTAATTTCAATATCTTGAAAACACTTATTACATATTTACAAATAAAGCGGGCTCATATAACTATAAAAAATAAAAAATCTTCAACTTCTCTCCCTCTCTCTTCCTCTCTCTCTACATATATTCTGCTCAAACTTGAAATAAAAAATTAATTATCTAAATATGTCTCATAATAGTCATAATTGATGAAATTATATTACATGATTAAAACCCTAGCCGCCCTAACTTATTTCGCAAATCTCAAGATCCGCAGTTCGCATATTCGCATCACGAGATGACTAGGGGGCTGCGATTTTGTCTTCGAGTATCTCTTCGTGCGTTAGGTGCATCTCCTCTTTATTGCCGACGTTTCAAACGACTGCAACTATGTAGATCTTCTTCTTGTTCGTCGGCTTGCACCTGTAGGTTATCACCGCTCTTACAGAATTTTGCATTTTCCCAATAACCTTCCATGAAACAAGAAATCCTGCATATATTTTTGCTTCCTCTTCTCTATATTTCCTTGCTTTGCATTCTGGTTGTTCTGAAAGTGCTTGCTTCAAACATATCACAAGATTCGAATATATGACTGCAAGCTTCCAACGATTGCGATTTTGGGCTTTCTTCCTTTGTTGCTCAATGATAGTGATATTTCATCTCTTACCACCAATTTTGTTTGTTGTCCTCTTAGTTAACTTCATATATTCAGCTTTGGGGCAATGTAATGTTTGTGCATATTGATTTTGGTAAATCTGTTTTCAATATATGTGTGCTTATAGTCTTTTTTTCTTAATTTTATTTAGGAGATGATAAGTAAAAATTATGTATTGTTTATTATATTTTGAATCTCAGTGAAAATGTGTTGTTTTTGTACTGAAAAAACTCAAAATGGTGAAAAATACAAAGAAACAGGTAGCACCACAGTGCCAAAGGAAACACACCAATGTGCTTTGTTAAACACTGTCGAAGCACCACTTTTTGGACATTGTAGTGCCATACTTTCTATATACAAGCAATACAACGGCATCATAGTCAGCACCACAACATTTGAGGTGCCATTGTGTTTGAAAATCAGGTTAGTAGAGTAGGGGATTTGTGAAAATGAATGTCGTCGTGCCACACATTTCAATGTCTCAGCGCCATTTTGTCCACTCGGGCACCGCAGCGCTCCAATTTTCGCAGCACCGCGGTATTACAATTATAACTTCTAAGAGACATGTCATTGAAGTAAAAAATATAAGTTTGTTCACTTCATAATCATTCCACATCATCAAGCGCCATGACAAAGCAAATATTTCAGCGCCAAGGCTCTAGTTCACTTTCGAGCATTGTAGTGCCACAATTTTAAGCACTGCAGCACCAAACACCTTTTATGTGTTTTCCTATAGATAGATGTTTTGTTCTGTTTATGAGAGCGTTTAGTCGCTAATGTAAAATTTAATACTTTTAGTGTGTTTCTCTAGTATCCTCTTAGAGTAAATCTAAAGGAGGCAAGGGAAGTACACAATTCAATCTATTAGAGTGTTTAGCCTATGTTTGTTAAAACAACTTTACAAGTGAAGGAAGGAGTGTATAAGAGATACTTTGATCCTACCTAGTAATAAAATTCTACTACTTTTCTTGTATTTTGATTCTTTTATGAATACAATGAAAATGAGTTTGCTTATCATTTATTCTATGTATGGCTAAATCTCTTATTTTGGATTGATGATGTAAATAGTATATTAAATACTAATGAACTCTTGTACTTTAAAAATTTAATGATGTTCTGAGCATGTTCTTTATTTTGAGTTGGTGGCATTAGCTATTTTTTTTATTAATGAGGAAGAGGAATGTTGCTAAAGAAACACCAATAATACTTTACTTTAAGTAACACATGGTTTACCTTATACCTTATCATTTTCTTAAAATGCAAGTTCCTTAGAATTTTTTTAAGTATATTAATAATTCCATCTTAAGAACTATTTATGACCATTAATTTTTGCTTCAAATTAGTCAACGTTTAAAATTGCGCAATAAAAGGCGTGCCTCAGCGCAATTTCGTCCATTTAATCCTCAAAGCCTACGCAATAAGTTTAGTTTATGAGGCTTATGCCTTAAGTTTACTGAGGCGCGCCTCGCCTCATATATTTAAGGCGTCGCCTTTTTAAAAATTAACCTAAATTTTTTTTTCAGTTCGGACCCTCAGTTGCCGACGTGGCGCGCCTAGTGAAATGTCGACGTAGCATCAACATTTAAACCCTTGTAAAGGTCGAATGGAGGAGTCGACGTTTCAATTTTCAAGTTACAGTAAACTTTCGAACTTTCAGGCATTCACTCCGGAGCAATTTCAAGCATTCTTCACTCAGTTTCTTCCAAGATATCGTCACCCCCAAAGAAAAAAGTAACTTAATGCTATGTTTTCTATTTCGTAATGCGTATTTTATGATTATGCTATGCGTTGGTGTTCAAGGTTCTGAAGATCTTCTTATTTCATGCTTATTCTATGCGTATGCATTGCTTCTCGAAACTTTTTAAATGTTTGATATTGTGATGCGATCGTGTTTTCTCTGTATTCAGGGTTTATAATAAATTTATGTTGAGATTTGAAACATAAAACCTAACTAAATTTTAAACACCGAGTAAATATGCGTAGGCTGTGCGTACGCAATGCGTCTTTTGTGCGTACTCTATGCGTATACGTTGCGTGCTCAGTGCTTATATTGTGCATACTTTATGCGTGCGTATAATTTGCTGCCATGTTTACTGCACTGTGCGTTCTTGTGCGTGTGATTTGCGTAATATATGCGTATGTTATGCGTAAACTGTGCGTGACCGTTGCTTATATTATGCGTATGTTATGAGTTTTTTATGTGTATCTCATTTACTTATTTTTAATTTTTCATTTTTTATAATTTTCAGATATATGTTTGTCCAATTACCTATAGATGCTATATTTTTTTCATTTCGAATAATCTGTGATAACTTTGCTCAGCAAATTACTCCTGAAGTCAAGGACACGTTAAAACGTTTAAAGATGATACAGTTTTTGGAATTTTCTGGGTTTGAGCAAAATGTCCCTCTTATTTATGAGCTGATCTCAAGGTGGGACATTTCAATGCTTTGTTATAAAAGGTCAACCCATTCCTTTCACTGCTGATGAAGTGGTCCTTTTTACTGGTCTGCCAAATAAAAGAGAAGAAATATCCTGGCATTCCTTAGCACATACTTCAGTTACATCAACAAAAATAAGGAATGACATGATGGAGTTGAACAAGCCCCCGGAGACTATGTTAAGAATGTTTATCATGTATTTATGTTCAAAATTACTTTTTCAACTTAACAACTTCAAAACCCCTCGGTTGATTCAAAGAATAGCAAATAATCCAGATGATTTTTTGTCAATAAACTGAGCTAGTTCAATTAGGGAGTTTTTAGTTGGAGAGTTTAATAAGGCATCCTCCAAGATTTCAAATAAGAAGCCAGCAGGTTACATCAACGGTTTTGTACCCATGCTAATTGTGAGTGCTAAGTGTTAACTGCTAAATTCATTCAAAATTTTATTGGCTTAATGTAAGTACTAAAATTTTCTTTCATCTTATACAGATTTGGTTCTTGTAGCATACTACTATTTATGCTCCTATGTATGCTGACAAAAGGCTCCGTTTTCTTCGATGGGCCGATGATATTGTATATACTACAGAGGTGATCACTAACTTATTTGCTAATATAAGGAAAAGTCATATTTGTAATGTCCTACAGGTAGTTTTCCAGGCAGAAATGGATATGGTTAATGTCGAGAAATATCCATCAGACAGCCCTCCATCCCCTGATTCCCCTCATGAAATATCCACCAATCAAAACAACCCCCCCAATCTCCCCATTATACCCCACCTCCTCAGAAAGACCCCCACCAATCTCCTCAGCAATCACATTTACGTTTTTCTACTGAAGCACTTCAGTCTCTATAAGAAACAATAATCAAATTCTGTCAAGAAACATACACAAAATTTTTTCGAGAATTTGAAGACAGACTGAGCACAAAGTTTGAAGATCTTAATAAGAGAGTTAGAGTTATTGAGGTCAAGCTCAATAATTATTGATCAGAGAAAAATAGTTCCTCATAAAAGATCTGTTATATACTCTTCATCTTCCAATAAGAGACATAAATCAGATATCCCTCCCCACAGCCCCAATGAACCAAATGAGACAATCCCACCAAAAGATCCAATCCCACCAAATGAGCCAATCCCACCAAAAGATCTAATCCCAATAAATGAGCGTAACATTAGGGATTCATCTTCTTCTATGAAGCCCATTTCATCTAGGGGTGCTAGAGGGCCTATGGATCATTATATGGTTGACACATTAGAGGATAGGCCTTCTACTACATAGAAGATGGCCCCAAAAAATGCAAGAGAGGCGCGGAGAAGAGTGTGTAAGGATATATGCATATTCTTCTGCGAAAATACAATTCCATTTAATGTTGCAATATCACCTGCTTATTACAACATGATTCGTTCAGTTTGAGCATTTGGGAGAGGGTTCAAACCTCCAACCATGTATGATTTAAGAACATGAATTTTGAAGGAGGAGTTGGAAAGCACTGATAAAAGCATCAAAGAAATTAAGAAGATTTAGGCCCAAACAGGAGTAACAATTATGTTAAATGGGTGGTCTGATATCAAACATAGAAGTCTAATCAACATCCTTATTAATAATCCTTATGATACTGTATTTTTAAGGTCAATTGAAGCATCTAACCAGGTCAAAGATGCTGAGTTCATATTTAGATTATTAGATAGCATTGTTGATGAGGTTGGAGAACATTTGG